AAGAAATCACTTGGCTTTGAAGCAAAAATCATGTTGATGTCCTTTTTAATACCTTCCACATTTGCATAAATTTTCACATTAAGATGGTGTTGCAGTGAACGAAAACGATGGTAATCTAATGGTGCCATATCTGGAGAATATGGTGGGTAGGGGAGAACTTTCCAACCCAACTCCATAATCTTGTGTGCCACACATGGATGTGCATTGACGTGGAGAAGAAGAACACCTTTCCGATTGATGAGTGAAGGGCATTTCTGATGAAGGACTTGATTTAAACATTCCAATTGATGACTACAGCTCTCTGCATTGACAGTTCGCTGTGGATTGAGGAGTTCAAAATGAATTTCTCCTTTGATGTCCTACCAAATACAAAGCATCACTTTCTGCGGATGGAGTCCAGGTTTCGAGGTCGGAAGTGGTTTTTGTCTAGGACTGAGCCATTGTTTTTGGCATTTAATATTTGCATAGAGAATCTATTTTTCATCACAAGTGACAATTTTGTCCAAAAATGGTTCACGTGCATTACACCCCAGAAGAAACAAAACAACGTTCATATGTTGGAAACAATGATCATCAGAGTTTGTGAGGCACCCAAGCACCTACTTTATGGAGTTTTCCCATATTCTTTAAACATGCAATTTTAGGGCCATTTCATGAGTGTGTTGCCTTTGGTTAGAGTCAACAAGCATCTTCAGAGCATCAATATCAATTCCAACATGTTGGCCCCTGCCATCACAGTTTTTAAGGCTACAGTCACCTGAACAATATTTGTTGAACCATTATTGACACTTACGATTGTTCAAAACATTTCCATAAACTTCTTTGATATTCTTTGTGGCTACAGAGGCATTGTTTCCCTTCTTGTATTCAAACAGCATTACTTGCCGAATGTGTGTCTTGTTGTGTGCCATCACTTTAAGGGATTAGAGCAGTGGTGGGATTCAGCCAGTTCATGCGAACCTGTTCTTAGAATTTAATGACCTCCACGAACCGGTTGTTAACAATCGTA